CCCGGTGCGCAGGTGTCAGTCTTCCATGGGGTGGGCAGGAGGCAAGGCGAGGTGTGGAGGAGAAGTGAGGACGGGAGGAAATGGCAATGAGCCGCTGGAGCGTGCAGGCGTGGCGGGAGAGCGGCCAGCAGCCTGGGGAGAGGGCAGTGCGCTGGGAGCGGTGCTGCACGGCTCTGCCAACACGGCAGGGAGGCACAGCACCCACCTCCCGCTCCAGCCGGCTTCCCAGTGCCCTAGATGCGACCTGCAGATTGCATGCCGCGCTTGAGCTTCGCGTCTTAGTGACGGATGAGGAAGGAGGGCTCAGCCACGTGGGGCAGAGGAGGCTCCGAGGGGCTCAGCACTCCCAGCACGCCCCACGCACAGGGTGCCAACACCTCCAGGGCAGCACACCAGGGGATCTTTGGCTGCAAGCTGGCTGTGGTGCGACGAGGCTGTGCTGTTGTTTCCCCCATTGAGGACTTTGCCCTCACACAGCTCGAGGCCGGGCGCGGTGCCCAGCTGGGCGTGTAGGCTCCTGCACCTGGCTGCTGGCCGTGCTCCAGGCACCCACCCACCGGGTTCGGGGACCGGGGTGGCCTCAAGCCGGGGTGCTGCGGGACTTGGAGGGCACTCCCGCCGCTCCGCGATCCGGCCCCCGCAGCACCGCAGGTCCGTGGCCCTCACAGACCCGGGGCGGAGCGCGGCGCGCAGGGCGGCCGGCAGGGGGCGCCGTAGTGCGGGCGGCGCGGCACGGCCCACGGCGGGGCCGCGCACAGCGACCTGCGGAGGGCAGCTCAGCCAGCGCCGCGCCGCGCCGGGCGGAACCGGACCGAGCCGAGCCGCAGGCAAGCGCCGGGGAGATGGGATCGGGGCCAGCTACCGGTGGGGTGCGGGGTTCGGGTACTGGATTTGGGGCTTTGGATCCGCAGACGAGGTGCTGCGTGCCCCAGCGTAGGGTGCGAGTGCTGAGCACGGGGTGCTGGCTCATCACCGGGCAGGATTTGGGGTGCTGGGTGCGGGCGCCGGGTGCGCTGGCTGCGAGTGTCGGGTCTGGCACTGCGTGCACAGGTACGGTCCGGTGCCGGGTCCGGTGCCGGTGCGGTTCTGTGCGCCGGGCCGGGCTGCGGAGAGGCTTCGGGACGGAGGTGATCGGGGGTCGGGGGGCGCTGGGAGCGGTGCCGGCGGCAGCAGGGCCCGGGGCAGGATGGAGGCGGGGGACACCTGGCGGGGATTTTGGGGTGACCACAGCTGCGGGGGAGGAAGGGACGTGCGGGTCTGGTGGCGGTGCAGCCCATCCTCCCGGCCCGTTCCGCTCAGGGTTTGGGGCTGCGCCGCTGGAGCTCGGGGACGCCCCGAGCAAGGGGGGTTGCATCGTGCCGGGGACTGTGCTTGTGCCGGGGCAGTGCATTGCGCCCTGCTCCCGCTCCTACTGGGGCTCGCCCCGCCCGCAGCCCAGGTGGGCCCGCGGCTCCTCCATCCCGGAGCCTGAGGCGGGGGTGGGGGACGCGGCAGGGATCCGGTGGTGCCAAGGCACCGTCTGTGAAGACAAAGAGGCTGCCCAAAATGGACGAGGAGCACAGCCTCCCCCAGAGGCAGGGATCTGTTGCTGTGAGTGATGCCCGCTGCCGGCCCCCTCTGTGGCTGCGGCCCCCACCCCGACGGTCGTGGTGACGCTGCCGCCGCCCCCCATGGGATGTGCCCGACGGGTACGGGGCAGAGCTGCCCCCGCCGTGCTGCGATCCCTATCAGCGCTTTGTTTTTGTGTTGCAACCGGAGGGGAAAGAAAAACACAAAATCAGTGCCAACCCTTTCAGCTCCCACGAGCGAGGGCTGCGCGGCTTTTCCTCCCCCCACCTCCAACGTCCATCTGTTGGAACCTTTCCCTGCTTTCCCCGCCAGGAATACCGGCAGTGAATTTGGGGTGAGGGCAGCCAGGTGGCTGCAGCAGGAGGAAGGTGAGGTTTTGGGGCACCTTTGGTACCGTGCTCTGGCTGGGCTCAGCCCTATTGCTGCTCCCCTGGGGACTGAGGATCACTCCATCTCACCGCTGCCAAACCCATGCAAATCCACCCGGCTCTGATGTGAGCGTGGCTGCATGCAAACCACATCAGGAAAGGCCGAGTCCCACACTTGTGGGGTGTACAGGAGTGGGATGCAGACTTAAAGAGCATCAGCTGCAGTTTGACCCCAAAGCTGGAGTTGTTTTGGAGGGAAACTGGAACAAACAAGACGAGGTCGTTAAGCTGGAACCAATAAGAGCGCTGCCATCATCTAGTTTTGCTGGACTTTGGGGAAAAAGAAATAAGGAAACAGTTTATCTTTGGAATAAATAAAGCATAAAGGAACAGGCGTGCAGGGAGCGCCCGCAGCCCCATGGGCCGGGGCCCCTCTTCCCGTATCTTACAGCCATGGGAGTAGTGCCTGAAACCTGAGCACCAGGGAGAACCCCTATGGCAAAACTCCGAGCAAATCCCGTGGTGACCAATGGCCCAGCAAGATGGAGCGCAGTGCGTCCATGGGGATGAGCAAATGGGCCCGAGTTTGTCCCAAACCCCAAATCTGAGCGAAGCTGCACCGGCAGCTGCTGGCTCTGCAGCATCCCTTTAAATTTAGGGTTGAGGCTTTGAGTTGGGTTGTTTTTTTTTCATTTTTAATTGTTCCTGGGGGTTTAATTCTAAAATTATTCTCCTGCTTCTGCTGTAGAAGCAGTGTGCTCTGACCACAAATCCTTTTAAGGCTGAGCTGCACAATGAGCCACAGCGTGCAAGAGAACCGGCACGGGAACCTCTGCTGGGAGCTCTGCTGGGCACAGAAGGCTGTATGCCTGTCTGTCTGTCCATCTGGCCACGCAGTCTTGTTTTGCCACAGCAGGGAAAAAAAAAAAACGCAGAGAAACTGTTTGCTTTTTTTTCCGGTGGAGATTTTCCCAGCACTGCCTGCCTCTCCCTCCCAATAGAAATGTGGGGCTGGGGCAGCGATGCTGAGGATGGAGGAGGTGGGATGTGGAGATGGCTCATCCCTGTGATGCCCCCAGGAAGATGGAGGTCCAGCACCTCGCATCCTCATCCCCCCCTGTGTGCTGGTGGGGGGAGCTCGGCACCCACTGCGGTGTCTCAGCACACTTCTCAGTTCCTGTTTGGCTCCCATGGCGCTCTCCCTCTGCTGCGCCCACATCCCAAATTTGGGGAAAGGAGAAGCATCGCGTGAGCCGCGCTATCTCGTGCATCTCCTGGGAAGCGCCTCGGGGTCGAGCAGGGTTTTGTTTAAAGAGCAAAAATAAACGCAGAGCGGTGCTGGTGGAGGTCACGGCGCTCCTTCCCTCCCCGGCCCAGCACCCAGCGCATCACAGATCCCCTTTTCCCGGAGGACTTTTGCCAAGTTGGCGTTTTTCTTGCTGCTGTCGGCAAAGTCCTGTCTGGCTGAGGAATGGATTGCCTCCTGCCCTGGGTCGCAGCCGCAGGCGTGTGGGAATGGGGCTGGGTGTCCCTGCTGCGCCCCGTTTGGGGCCGTTTGCTGGCGCTGCACCCAGGGATGTTTTATGATCTGCTGCAGCAGAGGCATGGGAGGGCTGTAAGTTGGGGAAAAGCTGCAGAAAGTTGCCTGGCAACCCTCATCCCACCTCTGCTCGCTGGGTACCGCGGGATCTCGCAGGATTTCGCTGCCTTTCCAAAACCGAGGGCTGCTGGAGCTGCATGACCCTAAATGAGGATTGTCATTTTGCTTGGCTTTCCCTCATCTCCCTGCCTCCCTAAGCCCATAGCTGTGTGGCTCAGGTGCATGCACAGCTTTGCAGAGCGCGGCTTAGGGATGCTGATGGCCGGGGGAGCTCTGGGTGCTCCCCAGCTCATCCAATGCTCTGGTTTCAGACTGGGAGCAGTGTGGGGAGTGGACATGGAGTGCCCAGGTCACCGTGGCATGGAGAGCACAGCAGTACTCTGATCTGAGTTGGACTAGGGATGCTTTCATTTTCCTCCTGCTCCTTCCCCCATTCTGTAGGTATTAAAAAAAAAAAAACAAAACTAAAAAAAAAAAAACCACGCACAAAAATAAATAAATGGAAAAGAGAAGCTCAGAGCAGCTCTTTCCTTCGGGTAAAACATTAACGAGCTCTTGGAGCGAGCTGCTTCATTTCCTTCAGGACAAAGTTGATCTGACGTGGGGGTGAAGGAGCCTTCGTACATGGGCGCAGCCGCTGGGCTCGAACGGCACAGCGTGCCCAGCCCCAGCACTGCCTGGGCTCTCCCGGGTAAAGTCCGGCGGCGGTGTGACGAGGGCAGGGTGTGCACGCAGGAGGTGCGGTCCATGTGTGTGGCCGTGCTGTGTTTGTTCCCGGTGGTGTTTGGGCTGTGCTGAGCTCGTAGCGCTGAGATGTGACATGGGCAGGAGATGCTGTGCGCCTGCTTGCTCGCTTCTGTGCCCTGCTGGTTTCCTGTTGTTTCCCTTCTCCCTCCCCTCTGCCCAAAGCCCGGAGTGGTATTTGCTTTAGGGAATCCGTCTGCAGCAGGCGTGTTTGAACAGCTTCGCTGGAGGGCCAGGTATTTGGTGTATATATATAAAAAAGCCCTAAGCAAACAGGTTAATGCCAGCTGCTTTGCGGGGAGGTCTCCTGTGTGGAGATATCCTATGGTCTCTGTCCTCAGCAGGCAGCTATGGGGTGCTGGGATCCCCATCCTCATCTCCCCCACGTCTCCCCATCCTCCTGTCACAGTTTCAGTCCCTGAGGACGTTGGTGTCCCCGTGTGGCCACTCAGCTCCATGCCTCCCTGTGGTGGTTTCTTAGCCAGGATTTGCTTCTTGGCTGGGAGCTGAAGATGCTGAGCTTCAAGGCAGCTGTTGATAAAAGGGAAACTGAAATATAGTGGAAAAACACTGGGGGGAAAAGAACACAGTCTTGCTTGAAAACACATGGTGGAGATACCAAGTGACTTTGTATTGCCTTTGCTTTACCCTGTGCTGCATGTGCCTGGAGCACCCCCCCCCCAGCCCTCTGTCCTCAGCAGTCAGCTCTCTACACATTTGGGGTTTCCTTTACTTCCCGCCAGCTCCTGGCTTGGCTCTGGGGAAGGAACAGAGTCCTATGGCTTTCAGGTCACACCGGCTGCCCTGTTGCCTTCTTTGCACATGGGTAACCTGGGGACCACCAAACTCTTGTGCCCAGCAGCCCCTCTGACCTTGGCTCTCTGTTCCAGAAGGTTCCGGGGCAGCCCATCCCCAGCAGCAGCTGTGCCGGCTCCTCCAGCCGGGGGCTGCCCTTGCTGGGCACCAGGGATTGAAGATGTGTGGAGACGCAGTGCGGCTGCTGACCACCCTGCTGGTGGCCGCGGCCATGGGCTACCCCAGCCGGCGCTCTGCCACTGACCTGGATGCCACCCCCAGGATGACAGTCACCTTTGACGGTAAGAGGGCTTGGGGAGGGAACAGGAAGGAAGCTCACTCTGTTTTGGAGCGTTTCACTGTGAAAACCATTTTTCTCTGCAGAGCTGTCAGGTGTGCGGCGGTTCAGCGGGCACAGCCTGAACTACACCACACTGCTGCTGGAGGACGAGCGGGGTATGCTGTATGTGGGCGCCAGGGGGGCCATCTTTGCTCTCAATGCCAGCAATGTGGCCGATGGCTCGCACCACATGGTGAGCTGCTGTCCCCATTCCCAAGCAGCCTCCAAGCTTTTGGTGTGGGGTTTCATGCTGTGATGGCACTTCTCCCTGTACAGATCCGTTGGGAAGCATCTCCGGAAAAGCGGCTGGACTGCCTGCAGAAGGGCAGGAACAACAAGGTACGGCCATTACCGGGCAGTGAGGGTCCCATGGTGTCCCCAGGCTGTGTCCCCAGGCAGTAATGTGCGTCCTGTCTACCGTAGACCGAGTGCTTCAACCACGTGCGGCTCCTACAGAGGCTAAACACCACGCACCTCTACGCCTGTGGCACCTACGCCTTTCACCCGCTCTGTGCTTCCATTGTGAGTCCTCCTGTTCCCATCCAGGGTGGCTTTGGGGTGGCAGCTACCTGGGCACAGTCGCTGTCACACTGATGCCACAGGTCCCTGATGGCCATGTGGGCTCCTGCATGTCCCGCATCCCTCCCACAGCCATGATGTGTGTCCCCATGTCCCCAGCTGTACTGCCAGTCTGGTTTGTCTCCAGCCACTAGAGGTGCCACCACACTTGGCTCCATCATTATTTAAAGTGCTTTGAACTACAACCCTCAAAGAAAATAACTCCTATGGGGACACAGATGTTGCAGGGAGGACCCAGCCCGGCTGAGGACAGCATCGGGTGGTGGTGTTTTGTTGGGAACTCATCCTGCCTGGAGGGGATGGCCGTGGGTGTGGCTTTGTCCCTGCCCTAGTGGGCACAGGGCTGTCCCCCGTGCTGATGTCCCCGGTCCTGCAGGATGCTGACAAGTTCACACTGCCCTCCCGCTTCGAGGAAGGCAAAGAGAAGTGTCCGTACGACCCCTCCCGTGGCTACACCGGCCTCATTGTGGGTAAGTGATACTTCACCAGGTCAGGACACTTTGGGCCACTATGGGGGCAGTCAACCACATGGACTGTGCTTGTGGAGGGTGCAGTGAGATTGGGTATCCTCCTCCTCTGCCTGGGGCATGTGGATGTGGTGGCTTTTGGGGCTGTCCCCACAGTTCCTGGGGTATGGTGACCATGCTGACGGGTGCCTGCCCTGTGCAGATGGTGGACTGTACACAGCCACACGCTATGAGTTTCGGAGCCTCCCTGATATCCGGAGGAACCTGCACCAGCGGCCGCTGAAGACAGAGGAGTCTCCTCTGCACTGGCTGAATGGTAAAGATGTCTCTGTCCCCTGGGATTGGTGTCTGCGCTTGTCCAGAGTGCTGTACTGCAGGGGAAAACTGAGGCAGGGAGGGACTGGGGACCTGGTGAGTTCCCAATTGCTACGTCTCGCTCCATTTCCCCCAGATGCCGAGTTTGTGGCCTCCATGCTGGTCCAGGAAAGCAAGGACAGTCCTGTGGGTGACGATGACAAAATCTATTACTTCTTCATGGAGCGAGCAGGCGAGGAGACCACATCCTTCTTCGATAAGAGCCAGGTGGCTCGGGTGGCCCGGGTGGCCCGTGTGTGCAAGGTAAGGCTGTCCCTGAGGAGCAGGGGATCCAGGCATGCACCTGGGGGCAGACTTAGTTGTGTGCTCTGAGGGGTTCCCCTAATGGGGAATGGGGACTGTGAGGATGGGGAGTGGCTCTGCACTGGGAGTGCCGGGCTCAGTGCACCCACTAAGAACCCCTGCCCACCTTCCCAGAGTGATCTGGGGGGAAAGAAGATTCTGCAGCGCAAGTGGACGTCCTTCATGAAGGCGCGCCTGGTGTGCTACATCCCCTACTATGAGGTGCTGCGCAGCGTCTGCAGCCTGGACAGCGGTGGCTGGGCCAGCACCGTCTTCTACGCCGCCTTCACGCTCTCAGCGCAGTGGTGAGTGGGGCCAGGCGTGGAGCTGGGTGGAGGTGGTGGTGGGGGATAACAGGAGGTCCTGCACCCAGGAGGACGATGGAGGCCTCGGCTGTGTGCCGCTACGACATCTCCAAGGTGCAGCGTGCCTTCGAGGGGCCCTACATGGAGTACCAGGACTCCTCCCGCAAGTGGTCCCGCTATGATGGAGCAGTGCCCGAACCTCGGCCCGGCTCTGTGAGTGCTGGGGATGTGTGGGTTTTGGGGAGGGGGCGCAGGTGGGTGAGCCCCCACTGACAGCCATGTCCTCCTCCTGGGCAGTGCATCACAGACAGCTTCCGCCGAAGGGGCTACAACTCATCACAGGACCTGCCCAACAGCGTGCTGGACTTTGTCAAGCTGCACCCGCTGATGTTTGAGGAGGTGCAGCCGGCGGGTGGCGAGCCGCTGCTGGTAAAGAGAAGTGTGGCATACAGCCGCCTGGCGGTGGACCGGGTACAAGCCCTCGATGGGCGCTCCTACGACGTGCTCTTCATGGGGACGGGTGAGTGTAGGACATGGGACGGGTCCCTGCGTGGCGCTGGGTGTCCCGCATCCCCTCACTGCCCCGTCTGCAGGGGACGGCTGGCTGCACAAGGCCGTAGTGCTGGGCTCCAGCCTCCACATCATCGAGGAGGTGCAGGTGTTCCAGGACCCGCAGCCCGTGGAGACGCTGGTGGTATCCCGCAGACAGGTGAGGGGTGGCTATGGGGCTGGGGGTGGCACGGGGCACCCCATGTGTGGGGCAACACTGCGAGCCGGACCTTTCCATCCCAGAGGAGCCTGTATGTGGGGGCTGCTAGTGGAGTCCTGCAGGTGCCCCTAGCCTCCTGCGCCAGGTACAGCTCCTGCTATGACTGCATCCTCGCCCGGGACCCCTACTGCGCCTGGGATGGTGGGGCCTGTCGTGACACAGCCAGCGGGGACAGGTAGGGGCAGTGCTGATGGGGTGGCTGTGGGGCCAGCAGCAGGGCCACGTGCTGAACCCCAGTGTCTCACAGCACAGGGCTGGTGCAGGATGTGCAGAGTGGCAATGTGGGATGCCGGAGCGGCTCTGGGCGTGGTAAGTCATCAAAGAATCACAGAGTGGTTGGGTTGGAAGGGGACCCCAAAGCCCATCCAGTTTCAACCCCTGCCGTGGAGAGTTGGAAGGTCAGGATGCCCAGGATCCCATCCAACCTGGCCTTGAACACCTCCATGCGGGGGACACCCGCAGCGCTCTGGGGCAGCCTGTGCCAGGGCCTCACCTCCCTGAAGTGATGAATTTCCTTCTGACATCTGTCCCCCCAGGCTCCCTGCCGTGGAAGAACCGCACGGTGCTGCGTGGGGATGATGTGCTGCTGCCCTGTGACCAGCGCTCCAACTTGGCACGGGCTGTCTGGCTGCTGAATGGCAGCGAGGTGCCGGGCAGTGGGCAGGAGCAGCTGCGCGTTGGGGTGGATGGGCTGCTGGTGACCAACACACTGCCAGGACACAGCGGCGAGTACCGCTGCTATGGTGAGGAGCGTGGGCTGCGCACGCTGCTGGCTGCCTACAGCCTCACCGTGCTGCCCCAGCTGCCTCGTGCCACCATCACCACCACCTCTGGGCCCATAGCGGCCAGCCAGGCTTCTGGAGACACCAAGGTGGTCTATGTGTCTGCTATCGTGGTGCTGGTGGTGCTGTGTGCCGTGCTGGGTACCGTCCTGCTCTATGTGTCCTGCCTGGAGAAGCGCAGGGGGAAGTACGTGCTGGGGGAGCCGCGGGCTGTGAGTCCTGAGCTGCAGACGGTGTCGGCCAGCTGCCTGCGCAAGGCCCACGGGGACGATGAGGAGGAGGAAGATGAGGAGGATCTGGCTTATCCCTGCCTGCGCATCATCCCTGGTGAAGCACCCACGGCCATCGTGTCCCCAGCCAAGGAGCTGCCGGTGGCCGTGCCCCCCCCTCCGCCGCCACCGCTGCCCACTGAGCTCACCAACGGGGTGGGCTCCCTGCCCAGCGTCCTCCGCAAGATGAACGGCAACAGCTACATGCTGCTGCAGCAGCAGGACGAGCCGCTGGCCTCACCGCTCTACAGCGCGTCCTTCACCGAGGAGCTCAGCAAGATCCTGGAGAAGCGGAAACACATGCAGCTAGTGGAGAAGCTGGATGAGAGTTCCGTGTAGGACCGGGGTCCCACCAGTCCCTTCTCCCACCCCTGCCAGCAGTGTTACAGACTCAGCAAAACTACCTCTGGGACCGCAGCGCCGGGCTGGGCCCGGGCTCGGCCATCCCTTTGGCTTTTCACTCACTTTTGAGACTTGATGTACAGAAAAAAAAAAACAATGGGAAAAGAAAGGGAAAAATCCCCCAAAGAAGAATCTATTTAAATTTGGGAGCTCTATTTATGTATAAAACCCACCGATGGCGACCACAAGCTGGAGGCAGGAGCTGGAGCACAGCTGATGGTGGACATGGGGAGGGAGGGCTTATGTCTTATGTCCATCTGTCCATCCAGGCAGGCAAGACCCTGTCCTGGATGTGTGGACCTGGCCCACCCCATTGGGCATCCCCAGCCCTGGGTGCCCAGGCACTGAGAGGTGGGTGCAGAGCGGGACTGTGGGCTTGGGGCTGTGCTGCAGGGCCACCAGCTGCTGCCTGCTGCACATCTGCTCCCCAGGGCTGCCTGCAGGACAGATGCTCAGCGAGGGACAGCAAAGAAGAGGAGAGTTGTCCCTGTAAGTGGGATGAAATTGCCTGTGCCTGCCATCAGCCCAGGGTGAGATGCGGGATGAGTGCTATGGGGAGGGATACCACTGTGGGGAACCGGACCCTGACAGCATGTTGCCTTCCCACCACAGGGTGCTGCTGGCAGCAGGACTGCTCTCCATGCGTGAGGGCCATGCACGCCAGTTGGCTTGTCTGCATCTTCTCCATGTGGTGTGGGAATGGACCAGCATCCTCTCGGCATCCTTGCCCTGCAGAGTGGACATGATGCACTTCTGCATCCTCATGCATTGCCAGCAGATGCTGGGATCCTGGCCACTGCCCCCATGCCACGGACTGTCCCCTCGCATGCTGAGGAGCCCTACCCCAGGCTTTCTCCCTGCGGGGCCTCCAGCTCCCTGTGGCCCTGCTGGCCCTAACTCCCTCTCCACCCTCATCTACCTCTGCTCCCTCACCCTGGGAACAAGAGGGGCACCCCAGCTCTGTCCCTCCATGTCCCCCTCTGCCACCCCCTGGACTGAGGGCATCGCCCAGAGCGCAGCCCCCTCCCCACCGGGCATTCTCTTCCTTCTCTGGGGTGGACGAGCTACCCCAAGGGCACATCGCATTCCCCCGGTACGGCCCCAGGGCAATAAAGGCGACGGCTCTGCGTGGAAGCGGCGGTGCTTCAGGTGCGGCTTTATTGCGGTGCCCTGCGGGGGCCGCGCACGGTAAGGGCGGAGGGTTTGTTGGTGAGCGGGTGCCACTGGCCCTGTATGCTGGGGTTGGCGGTGTGGAAGGGTTTGCGGATGCGCACGATGTCCAGGCCGGACTGGGAGGCCAGCTTGGCGGCCAGCTGCACGATCTCCTCGCTCGTCTTGCTGGCGATCAGCTCCTCCCGCACCGTGCCGTTCACTGCGGGACAAGAAGGACGCTCGGTGTGGCCACGCCGTCCCCGCGGCGCCTCCCGCCGTTCCCCTCCCCGCCCCGCACTCACGGTACTCGGCCTGCAGCACGGGCGCGGGGCAGTCGCACGGCCGCACGTACACCACCACGTCCGGGTGCCGCCGGGCGAAGTCCACCGCCTCCTCCTCCACGAACTGCCTGCGGGACGGAGGAGGGATCCGAGGTCAGGGCTCAGAGGCCACGCGGCGGGGCGGCGGGCGGCGGGCTCACCTGGCTCCGCGGGCGTCGGGCGCGGCGGGGCTGAACACCACCTGCAGCCGCTGCAGCTGCCGCACGTAACGGCCCACGCCGTTGTGCAGCACGGCCGTCAAGAAGCGGCTGGCCGTCCCGCGGCTCGTCATCTCGCCGCCCGGAAGCGGAACGGTGCTCCGCGAGGAGGGGAAAGAGAGAGAGAGCGTCCGGCTGCGCCGCGCGCCGGTAGTGACGGCGAACGAGGGAGACATGGCGGCGCCCGCGGGGCTCCACGTGGGGGGGGCGGCCTGAGCCGGGCCGATGCGCGGGCGGGATGGCGGCGGTGCCGCTGAGGCCCTGCAGGGCCTCCGGGCGGTTCCTGCCGCTGCTGCGCGGCGGGGCGCGGAGCCGCGGGGCCTCCCCGTGGGCGGCGGGGCCGGGCCGGGTGGCGCAGCGGCGGTACAAGAAGGACGTGCTGCCTGAGCCCGGCGGCGCCGCGCCCGCCGTTTCCGTCACCGAGATCCGGCGGTACCTCCGCGCGCAGGGCATCCCTTTCCAGGACGGCTACAGCTGCCTGCACGCCCCCAGCCTGTTCGGGCCGGAGCTGCCGACCGCCGCCGGGCCGCCCTTCACGCTGTTCATCGACAAGACGACGGGCAGCTTCCTCTGCACCGCCACGTTAGCCGAGGGCGGCTGGCAGGACCTGCAGGCTGCCGTGGAGCTGCGGCACCGCGGGGTCCCGGCGCCCGGCCCTGAGGAAGGAGAGCACGAGGAGGAGGAGGCGGAGGCGAGGAGGGCGCGCGAAGATGCGCGGCGCATCTGGGAGCGGGCGCTGCCGCTGGGAGAGCTGCTGGACGAAGAGGAGACGCAGACCACCAAGGCGGCCTTCGGCATCATCCCGCTGGCCGACAGCACGCTGAAGCGCTTCGGGGTGCGCTACCTGCGGGCGGCCAAGGCCCTGGTGTTCCCTTGGTTCGCCCCACGCGATGCAGCGCTGCGGGGCCTGAAGCTGCTGGTGGCAGAGCAGCAAGATGACGCCGTGAGCTACACGGAGGAGACGTTTCCCCGCTTCGACGCCTATCGCAACCTCTTTGGGCTGCCGCTGATCGGCCGTCGTGACACCGAGGTGGTGCTGACTGGAAGGGAGCTGGATGCTCTGGCCCTGCACCAGGCCACTGGCGTGCCCTGCCTGGCATTGCCGCGCGGGGCCACCATCCTGCCGCCTGCTTTGCTGCCCTACCTGGAGCAGTTCAGGCGTGTTACGCTGTGGCTGGGTGACGACCTGCGCTCCTGGGAAGCCGCCAAGCTCTTTGCCCGCAAGCTGAACCCCAAGCGCTGCTCGCTGGTGCAGCCTGGAGACCTCCAGCCACGGCCTTTGGAGGCTTTGAACCGTGGGCTGAACCTCACCAAGATCCTGCGTGCCGCCCTGCCTGCCGGACACAAAGCCATCGTCTCCTTCCGACAGCTGCGCGAGGAGGTGTTTGGGGAGCTGGCCAACAGCGAGCAGGTGGCCGGTGTCAAGTGGGCGCGCTTCCCTGAGCTCAACAAGCTGCTCAAGGGGCACCGCAGGGGCGAGCTCACCGTCTTCACTGGTGAGGGTCTCCACCCAAAGTCTGGCGTGGGATGCTGCTCATCCCATGCTTGGGTTGCTGTTATTGGGTTGTTCTTTTTGGTATGACTATTGCCATTGTGCATTCTCTCCCAGCTCGCTTCCCAGTTCATCCCAAGCTTGGGTTACTCTCATTGGGTTCTTCTTCTGGTTCTTCTTCTTGGTATGACCATTGCCATTGCGCATTCTTCCCCAGCTTGCTTCCCAGCTCATCCCAAGCTTGGATTGCTCCTGTTGAATTCTTTTCCAACTACCCCTTAGTATGATCGTCACCATTGCACTCATTTCCCTGTTTACTTCCAGGTCCGACAGGCAGCGGAAAGACGACATTCATTAGTGAGTATGCACTGGACCTGTGCACACAAGGGGTGTGCACGCTGTGGGGCAGCTTTGAGATCAACAACATCCGCCTGGCCAAGATCATGCTGACCCAGTTTGCCACCCGGCGCCTGGAGGACCAGCTGGAGCTGTATGACGAGTGGGCCGACCGCTTTGAGGACCTGCCACTCTACTTCATGACCTTCCATGGCCAACAGAACATCAAGTATGGCACCATCCCTTCGTCCCTTAATGGTGTTCTCCTGTGTGCTGCGGCACAATGGAGTAGATGTGGGGCTGATCACACTGTGGTGGTGGGGGTTGCAAAGTGTGACTCACAGGGCTGCACAGTAGCATCCGTCTGGTGGAGAGGGGTGGAGGAAAAAGGAGGGAGGGGAACAGGCACTGTGGTGCCAGCAGCTCCCCCTGTGCCTGGCTGGGTGTTTCCAGTGCTCCTGGTGTTCCCCTTGCAGGACGGTGCTCGACACCATGCAGCACGCCGTCTACATGTATGACATCACCCACGTGGTGGTGGACAATCTGCAATTCATGATGGGCCATGAGCAGCTCTCTGCAGACAGGTAATGCTTCTATGGGGGTTTGACATCATCTGGGTGTCCTGTCTGGTGTGGGAACCCACATTAGAATCATTAAGAATGGAAAATACCTCTAAGATCATTGAGTCCAACCCCAAGCCCTACTGTGCCCACTAAGCCACGTCCCTCAGTGCCACATCTTTCTTTTACACCTCCATGGAGAGATCAGTTCACCACCAGCCTGTTCCAGTCCCTCACTGCTCTCTGAGAAGAATGTTTCCTAATATCCAACCTACCCCATTTTGGGACAGTCACCCCCACGGAGCACTGACACCCATGGGGTTGTGGCACTGCCCCCATTGCGTCCCCTTGGTGTCCCCTGCAGGTTGGCAGCACAGGACTTCATCATTGGCGCCTTCCGCAAGTTTGCCACCGACAACACGTGCCACATCACTCTAGTCATCCACCCGCGCAAGGAGGACGACGAGAAGGAGCTGCAGACCGCCTCCATCTTCGGCTCTGCCAAGGTGGCTCCTCCTGGCCCTCAGGCGGGGACAGGGTGGGGACATCAGCACACCATGACCCAAAACGTGCCGTGGTGGGGCTGGGTGTCCCCTGTTACCTGGTGGCACACAGCTGATTGGTGCTTATAGGTTGTGGGTTGGATGTGGCATGAGTTGCTCCATGGGGGTAGGGTGGAGGATGCTGGGTTCACCCTCCGAGCGCTCGGTTCCCCACAGCTCGCTGGATGTGGGGGTGCCCCATGCCCTGCAGCACCCCCTGGAGATGTTCTTCTCCCCCAGGCCAGCCAGGAGGCCGACAACGTCCTCATCCTGCAGGACCGCAAGCTCACGACGGGTCCCGGGAAGCGCTACCTGCAGGTGTCCAAGAACCGCTTTGATGGCGATGTAGGCGTCTTCCCGCTGGAGTTCAGCAAGGCCTCGCTCACCTTCTCCTCCTATGGCAAAAGCAAGGCCAAGCTGAAGAAGGTGAAGGAGGAGAAGGCGCCTTCACCCAAGAAGGGTCCCAATGGAGGTGTAGGTGGCTCCAGCAAGTCCTGAGCGTGGCAGGGACAGCCTTGGCACTCGGGCACACCATGTGCCATGCGGCTGTGCTCCTCCTGTCAGAGCATCCTCACATTCCTCAGAAATATGAGAGGAACGGGAGAAGATGTGCAGACTTTGGGGTCTCTGGACCCTGAGCAGGTCATTATATGGTTGCTAAGCGGAGGCTACGGCCCAGGTTTACCTCCCGCATGGTATGGTGCTGGTACAGCTCTGCCAGCTCTGACCACAGTCTCCCCAGCCATGGGGTACCACCACCAGCAGCAGCAAGGCCTCTGGGTCCCAGCCCCGGGCTCCTCGGAGCCTCTCGTGGCAAAACACTGTGTCTGAGCCTGTCCTCCCCATCGTGGGGAGCCCCGGGTCGCCTTTTGGCCCCGTGCTGTTTTCTCTACACTTTTATTAAAGCAGAAGTATGAATGCTGTTTGTCCTTCGCTGCTAACCCCGCGATCCCATTCCCCATCCCTCCACCTTTGGGTCCCCTTCTGCCACGGGCTCGGACCGTGCCCGGGCTGCGGGTCACACGGCCCCACGCGTACACACCTCCCGCCCCAGCGCCGGGCACCTCCCCGCCACCGCGCCCCACGGCACCCACGCGCCGGTTCGCCACCCGCACCCCACACGCGTGGGGCCGGGAGAAGGCGGCGGCCGCCAGGACGGGAGCCGGGCCCATGGCGGAGGACGGGGACGCGGAGGTGAGCGGGGCGCGACCCCCCCTGCC